CACCAATTTAGTACATTTGTTTTTACTCGCCACAAAATATTTACTTAATATGCTTTATTTATCTTTTCAAATATTTATTTGTACCTCATTTTATATCTAAAATACCCTTATAATATTTGAAGTTAGACCTCTTTTCTAAAAGATGATTAGTTAGGCGGCTCAATGATATTTTCACCCCAATCTAAGGTGAAGGACATTTTTCGAATTCAAGCATTAAAACTTAACCATCAGAGGGCAATCTTATCGATTCATAATGGTAGATTAGGTTTTTTGTCTTCATAATGTTATATATGGAAGGTGAATTGACAAGATTACCCTTTCACAGTTAAATTTTAATGCATGAATTCAAAAAATGAGGATAATTTGAGTGTTTGGAACCAGGGAAAAGTTTCCTTTCATGATAGTTTGGGAGTTAAAATGTTAGTTAGCCTTAGTTTTTTTTTTTTTTTTTTTTTTTTTTTTTCAAAAGACTAGGGGTGTTCGAGCTAATTTACACGCACTTCAACTAATCTCCTAAAGACCTTGGAACTACTAGTCAGGTAAGAGCTCTAGTAGTCACCCTTATTGGCAACCGAATAAGAACTTAAACTTAAGATCTTTTGAGTAATATACTCAAAAGTTCCTATTTAACCTGCCTTAATTAGACTTTTAATCTTCTATTATGTTTATCTTCTATATCTAAGTTTTCTCTTTCCGAAAATAAATTTTCATTGAATAACAATTGATGGATATTCAAGGGAGAGAAAGACCTTTTCCCACCCAAGGTTTGACAAAAAGGTTTGGCAAAACGACATTTTCCCACTCGTTAAGTTTCAAAATGACACTTTCCCACCTATTGTTATATTCCGTTAGGAAAATCCGTTATGAAGAAGAATGGGTAGACTTAAATCCATTAAGTTTCAAAGATTCAGAGAGATGTTTGGGTCTGGTAATAGGATGCAGTAAGTAGAATGGGTGGGCTTAAATAAAATTGACCATCATACCCTTCTTTATAACAGAATTTCTTAATGGAATATAACAGTAGGTGGAAAAGTGTCATTTCGAAACTTAGGTGGGGAAATGTCGTTCTACCGATATTCATTAGGTAGTATTGATGGGGTCACCATGTATAAGGACAATGTGATGTACATACGAAGAAATTGGAATTTACTTTTGACTTCCCAAACTGCCACGCCTATTGTTAGCTATGCCTATTTGAAAAGAGAACACCACAATAATTCTGCACAAATACGCAACTTAGACAAATAAATTACGTAATTAATTAAAACTTTGCTCAATGAAGTGGTGATTGGTCCATATGTGCACATGTTGGTGTATCAGAATTGATTTTGTCTGCCAACTCAATCACACTAACACGTGCATGGATATATTTTAATTTCATCTCTCTATCAATCTAATCCATGAATCATGTGAACTTCTTCTGGGAACAAGGAATCAATCCACGTTTAAAATTTGGGATTTGAATTTTGGAGTAGAGTCCACAGAGAGATTGTGTTGTGTTCCTGGATCATTATTATGTTATTTGATATTTAGATTAAAAAATATGATATATATTTGTTTACTTATTGAGATTATTATTTTAAAAATTAATCTAAATTAAATAACATTTTTTTCATCTGAAAATGAAAAGAAAGGGGGATTTGTTTTCAGATTATTCAACTCAAAGTATTTTTTTATTTAACTCTATTTAACTCAAAACATTTTTTTTTTTCTATCTCTACTTCTCATTTTTCTTTCTTTCCAATCTGAAAATCAATCCACTTAAGATCACCATCGCCTGCCAGCAACCATCCACCGCCAACACAGACGAAATGACAATCCAGCCAGTCATGCATGGATATGGCTGAAAACGGCCAGATCTACGACCAGGTTCTGGCCACGATTTGGCCTATCTGGCTATTTGGCAGTTAAAGAGTACCAGATCTCTAGCCGTAGATTTGGTTGTCAACAGCTAGATCTTTGACCGTAGATCTAATCGTTTCTAGCGATATCAGTGCACGATCGGTCAAATCCAGCAGGTTGTGTGTCGTTCCGGTGACTATCGACTGCCATTAGGCAATGGTGGTTGGTGGTCGGTTGTCCTCTTGGGTGGTTATGGTGCTTTTTTTAATTTTTAAATTTTTATTGTGGGATTGTTTAACTAAATAACAAATATAGGAGGTTAAAAAAATAATAATTAATATTTTTAGAAAATGTACCAAACAATTATTCTGTCTTAAAAACATTTTTTTTTTTAAAAAACCAAATAACTATTACAGCATTTTATCTTACTCTAATATAATTTTCAGATATTTTACCAAACGCATTTTCAGAATCTAATCTTACTCGATTTAATCTAACTCAACTCAACTTAAAACACTTTTTCAGAATAACATTTTTCAAATAATCTACCAAACAGGCCGCATTTTCAAAAGACATATATAGATATTTTTTTTTTCTTTTTGGGGTCACTAAAGAAATCCCCACAACTATTTTCTTATTAGATGCATAATTTTATTCATGTAAATTTCAATTTTGTACAATTACTTGTAAGGTATACATAGATAAACAAATGAAGTCTAAATTTGTCCGAGCCAGTAGCTAGGCACGCACCTCAAATAATTTTCAATGTCCATTGAACATCTTACCAGTTTAAAAGAATAAGTAAATCATAATATTATTGTGGTAAGTGGTCACAAGGTTTGAACCTAGAAACTTGAGGAATTGAACAAATCTTCTTGACCACCAATACAATTAATCAAAGTTAGCATATTAGGCCATGGCTCTCACATTAGTTTTATGGATGCATGCCTATACGGCTATACTAAGACCAACTACAAGTCCATAACGAACTTTTTTTTTTTTTTTTTTTTAACTTCTTTTGGGTTGTATTGATATGATGGCATGTGCTTCAATGGACCTTACCTAACCCATTTTATGATAGTTTGTTATGACAAAGAAAAGCAAGCATGCTTCTGAATTTATAAATTAACTTGAGATGTACAAAGTTTGTGATGTGTTCACATGACATGCATGTCCACATCAATCATTTTACGTTACATTATAAAATAAAAAACTATATAATATGTTGTAACACTTTTACTTATTCTTTCAAATTCAATTATATTCAAACCAACATTGAAGATGGTTAATTAGTATAAGCAATTGGAAATGGAGAATGGTCAATTGGCGCGTTATTATGGATAACTCCCAATTTCACTAACAAGAAGTGCATGATTTAAGGCTATTATAAGGTATATCTTAAAAGTTTTATTACACCAATACATATTTACTTATAACTTAATTAGTATAAGTAGAGCTGTCCAGTTTTTTGCTGATGAATTTCCCAAAATGTTATCATAAGGTATATCTTAAAAGTTTTATTATACCACTAAAGACTGATTCACAATTCAATCTCACAAACTCTCTTTTACAACTCCTACGTGATAACTCCCGGTTTTTTGCTGATGAATTTTGAATTTTGGTCAATTCATCAATAAAAACTAGACAGCTCCTACCTAGGGGTTGTGAGAGAGAGTTTGTGAGATTGAGTTGTAAGTATAGTATTGTCCTTATTACACATTAAGAATATTTCAAGGGGTTTTAGGTAAGGATAAAGATTGGCTTACAACCCAATCTTATAAACTTTCTCTCACAATTTCAATGTGACAGCTCGTAATTTGACAGGCAAGACCCATAGCAAGTAAATGAGACCCATTTGTGAGCTGAATAATTGTGAGTTGTTATTTTGAGGTTGTGAAATAAAGTTTATGAGATTAAATTATAAATATAGTATTACTGTGTACGTAAATCTTTGTGCTTTGAGTTTCTATATTTGTTTTGAGTTTAATGTAGTAAGAGTGTAAGACCTTATTTTTAGCTTTTTAAAATCTATGGAGAACAACATTGTCCCAACCAAGGTTTGGCGAAACGACATTTTTCCACCCTCCAAGTTTCAAAATGACACTTTCCCACCTTTTATTAGGTTCTGTTATGTCTTCCATTAATATTTTACTGAAAAGATAAAAATACCCTTAAATATTTGACTTTATAAATTTTTTATTATCTTTTAATCAGCTAAAAAGTTAAATATTAAAAAGTCAAAAAATAAAAAATAGTAAACACCACCTAAAAAATTAGGAGTAATGCTATGAAATTTTTAAAGTTAAATGAGGTTAATATTTATTTATTTATAATGTCATCAATATTCCATCATTATTATTCAATAATATACTAAATTCATAATATTTTTCATAATATAATGTTTTTCATTTTTGCTAATTAACATAGAAAATCAATATTCCTAACTAATTAAATAAACAAAAGAAATAAAATATATTTATACTTAAACTGATAAATAATCGAGTAAAGACTTTAATTTAATTAAATTTTAATTTATAATAAAATAATTAAGAAATAAATTATTTAAAAATATTTTTGTTTTTTCAATCAAATGTTAATAGAAAACACTAATAAAACCCGATGAATGATGAAAACGTGATGTTTTGCCAAACTTCTGGTGGGAAAATGTCGTTCTCCCTAAAATCTATATACTGTAATTATTTATTTTTTCAACTGTCTTTTTAGTTGACCTTCAGTTGGCTAAGTTCAACTTAACAATAGAAAATATTGCACCGCCAATTTATACCATTAATAATTCCTATATTCAAATTCATTATAATAGTGTTGCATTTAATGTATGGGATTAATTATTCCCCCATTACACCTTTAATATATGTTGTAAATAAACCACATAATATAGAATTATCAAAATCTAATTCATAAAGTACTCATTCTTCCATTAAATTTGTTGAAAGAACACTCCTGGTGGGATTTTTAATCTCTTTCTTGGATCACTAAAATTACACTCGACATTCTTGTTCTTGCATGAGAATTATCATCAAGACACCGACATCAAACAGCGATTTTATTTTCATAATTCTTTAAAAAGTCCATTTCTTTTGTTCTTTTGCTTACGTTGTCGTCTTCCAGACCACTGAATTCTGATCCCTCCTTTGTCCCTTTCAGTGGACACCTCATGCCATGCCACCATCACTAACCGCCACCGTCACTTAATCATTTCCATCACTCTCCAACTCATTTATTTCCCACAACAACTTTTTTCAAACGTGAAACAACAACTAGAATGAAGAAACCAGCGCTCAAGCCCGGGAGCCGGCCGCCGTGGGTGGGCTTAGCGGCTGCCGTGTGGGTGGAAATGTCAGCTGGGAATGCTTACAACTTTCCTTTATATTCAACTGCGTTGAAATCGGTGATGGGGTTTAATCAGCAACAAGTTACAATCTTGGGGGTGGCGAATGATATTGGGGAAAATGTTGGCTTGCTTCCGGGTATTGCTTGCAACAAGTTCCCACCTTGGGCTGTTCTTCTTGTTGGTGTTGTGTTTTGTTTCTTGGGTTATGGTGTTCTCTGTCTTGCTGTCAGTGAGACTGTCACTGGCTTGCCTTACTGGCTGGTAATTTTTTTTTTTTTTTGGTTGATGGGCAAACTTGTTTTTTTGAGAAGATTGGTTGCTTGGAAATAGTGGTGGAGAGTTAAATTTGAAGGGAGGTTTCAAATTTTGAGTTTGATTTGCTTGATGGGTATGAAAATTTTCTTTTTTAAACTAAGAATTTTGATGGATGTTTTGTGAACTGAATCGAGAAGTTGGTTGGGTGGAATATTGCCTGTGTGTTCGATTGTAGTTTATTTTCATGTTTGATTGATTTCATGTTTTTTGTTTTTTCGTATCTATTTGGGGATTTGATCTCTTGGTATTATAGTTTGATGGATTTTACTTGCTTTTGGGTTTTGATGCATTTCTTGGTGACTTCAATTACTGGAGCTGATTGACTATAGCTATTACTTGATGTTTAGTACCAGCTCAAGGATTTTGGTAGTTTGGTAGACTGACTCTGAATTTATTTCATCTTGCTGATTGGAAAGTGTAAATTGTGGGGAGCTTGTTGCAAGTTTGATTGTAGAAAATATGGTATAAGCTTCTGAAATGGGTCTATCAGCAAATAGGGAATAGGTTGTTTTCAACCAGGTTGTAGTGATGATTGATTTCTCATAGCAAGTCTCATGTGTGTAAGATCTTACTAGTTCTATACAAATTTGGTTTTTCTTAGTTTCTAAAGCAGTCAAATACAAGCAACTTAAGCTTGAGATGAAATAAGTAAGGTAATGAGAGAAAATTTCTTGTTGTAGAGGTGTTGCTTGCTTAAATTTTGCAAATTGAGTACCTCCTCAGATTAATTAGAGATTTTCCGTCTTCAAAACTTTGGTTTTGGTATGTTTTTTTGGTTGTTTACTCTGTCATCATATTAATGATACATCTCATTAGGACAGTAATCAGTTTGTTTAGCATGAGTTAGGGAATGTTTGAGAATGGAAATTAGTTTTCAATTAGTCAATTGACTTCAACTTGGATGAAGAATATATAAAATTTTAACGTGCACTTTTTCTCCAAGTCTTCTAAAAATTATTGTACTTTTTTCTGTTCTGTATTACCAAATGTCAGCAACTACATAAGAGGTTGTTGGACAGATGGAAATATTCTTATCTTGCCATGCCAAGCATGGCTAGGGTTTCTGCAGGATTCAATCTTCTATCTTGAAAGCAAAGTAAAATCGGAGTAAGTGTCCAGTGGAATGTTTATATATGGAAATAGATGGTATTTTAAACCCATGTAAGTTTCAGGAGACAGGCCATTGTTTGAGCATGGAAATAAAATTTCTTAGACTTTGCATAAAAATTGTTAAAGGAGATATTGAATTCATTATGAAGGTTTTTTAAATTAACTTTGTCAGGAAGGTAGTCCTTTGCAAAATTGTGCAATGAGTAGGTTGAACAAGATAAACCAGTCAATTCAGATGTTACTCCAATACAGTAAATGCTTCTTTATTTTGTTGGTTACTGGTGCTGGTCAGGAGGATGCAGAAGATTCTTCAATTTAATATGACCATATAAAATTTAGAAGCACACATTGTTTCTAACTCAAAGTGACTATATGAAATTTATGGCATCATTTTAAGGTCCTGTAGGAAATAATTTGTGGGAGCCTTTATAATTCTTGCAACAGAACCATCTGGGGCTATCCAGTAGAAACATTGGAAATTACTTCTAATGCCTTGGAAGCCATATTCTTTGATATCGTGAGGAGACATTGGCAACTATACTCACATATATTGACTTGCCTGTTTAATCAGAGGAAAGGTCAAACAAAGAAATTTATTCACTTGAATATTTAAATAAGTTGGTTTCTCAGTGCACATCTGTTTTAGTTGCCATTATTCATATGGAGAGATGGTAGTGTAGAATCATGGAAAAGTTTCCTTATGTTCAAACCCAGTTCTAATGTGCTGTAAGAATGATGAGCCAGTTCTTGGAATATCTTCGTGTTGTTGATTCTGTAATGCCTTGAATCTTTCCTTTGATGAACATCGTGAACAGCAATAGGATTATTTTATGGTCTGAAATATCAATACATGCGTACAGAGAGCAAAGCTTTATTTTATCCACATCACATCTTGTTCAGTTATAATCAAAAGCATGTAGTTTGGGAATTCTTCCAATCCTTTGATGAAACCAATAGTTAAGACATGATTCTTCTTACTTTTCATTTCTTGAACAAAAAGATATGTTTCTTTTTTTTTTCTTTTCTTTTGAATAGAATGGTTGGATTATATTAGATGGAACTTTGTTTTGTCGGACCACCCAGAATATTTTCTTTCCCACTAAACTACTGCCTGGATTAGATCAAAGTGGATGTAAAAATGGGATCAATGGAGGAAAAATATTGGGTTCTAGGCTGTGTTTCTTTTTTCATTACTACTTGTGTACACTGCATGCAAACCACAGAATATCCAGGTTTTGAGAGAGCATTATTTAAACAAATAATAAGCAGTATTTCTAAACTCATTTCTTTATACTTTAATGATACTGGGAGTATGAGCTTGGTTTATGTGCTGAGTGAAAACAAGTTTATGGAATCAAGCTTTATGCACATAGACACACACAATATGTTCCAAGGTATGTTATAAATCTTCATAATGAGTTTTTTTTTTTTTTTTTTTTTTCCTTTTATTGAACTTCAGTGATGTTATATTATCAGCCAAAATCTTGAGATGATATGAAGTTAATTGCATATTGGCAACAATAGATATCATATGAAGTTAATTGCATATTGGCAACAATAGATATCTATGTTTGTAAATGAGCATTAGTTCAATTGATATGTCAACATTTTTGCATGACCCTTTTGTTTTGAGGCATTCTAGTAGGCAGGGATCTTGCCTTGATCGTATCCATTCTGGTGTACATACTTATAATTCTTATTATTCAATGCTATGGCAGTTATTTCTTGCACTCGTTGTTGGCACTAATAGCAATGCATGGTTTGGGACGGCAGTGCTAGTAACTAACATGAGGAATTTCCCCCTTAGTAGGGGCACTGTTGCTGGTATCCTCAAAGGTTATGTTGGGATTAGTGCTGCAATATATACTGCATTATACAGTATGGTGCTTAAAGAGTCTGCAACGAGACTTTTACTGTTCCTGGCACTTGGAATTCCCGTTATATGTTTAGTTATGCTGTATTTAATCCGGGCGTGCACACCAGCTTCTGGAGAAGACTCTTCAGTGCATGCCCATTTTATTTTTACCCAAGCAGCAAGTGTTTTTCTTGCCATCTATGTCACTATAATTTCGATAACAAGTGATGTCATTTCTCTAAGTGATACTGTTTCATACATATTAATTGCCATAATGGTTGTCTTGATGATGTCTCCTCTTGTGATTCCTATCAAAATGACCCTTTTCCCTGCTAACACCAATAAACCTACACCAGCGAGTTCTTCAGATGATTTGGTTCGACAAGGGGGTGATTCAACTCAAACAGATCCTTTGTTGACACCGTCTTCGTCTTTTTATGATAATGAGGATGATGTCTCAGATGTTGAGACACTACTTGCTGTTGGGGAGGGGGCAATAAAGAAGAAACGGAGACCAAGGAGGGGGGAGGATTTTAAGTTAGGTGAAGCCTTTAGGAAGGCTGATTTCTGGCTTCTGTGGGCTGTGTACTTTCTTGGGGTTGGATCTGGAGTCACAGTTCTCAACAATTTGGCTCAAATCGGGATTGCATTAGGAATTGATGACACTACAACATTGTTGTGTGTCTTCAGCTTTTGCAATTTTGCTGGACGTCTTGGCTCGGGTGCTGTTTCTGAATATTTTGTCAGGTCATTACTCGTTGGCTTTGATTAAGAATACACTATGTTGAAATGCAAAGGTTTTCCTTTTTTGCTGAAATATCAAAACCAGGACTGGAATTTTCTTTTAGCATACCTAACATAATCGGACCTTGTTACAGTTTGAAATTCCTATACTTCATGATTTACTTGGATTAGGTTTCCTTAATTCCTCTCTCTGTGTATAGGGATTTCTTTCATTTAAAAGTTATTTGAAAAATGATTAAAGAATTGTGTCATAGAACTGATTTGTTGAGTTTCTCATGTTTTTTCTTCAGTACTTTTCCCTTCAAAACAAGTTTTGAACCTTTTATGCTCATGTCAGATGTGATATTCTTAGTTCTTACTGCATTGGATTGGCTTTTTCCAATTCTATCTAAAATCATGTTAATTGCAGATCTAAGACAATTCCACGGACAGTTTGGATTACGATCACGGAATTAATCATGGTCTTCTTATTCCTCCTCTATGCATCATCTCTTAATGGTACTCTCTATGTCTATGCTGCAACTGCGCTGCTTGGAGTCTGCTATGGAATTATATACTCTCTGATGGTTCCAATAGCCTCAGAGCTTTTTGGGTTGAAACATTTTGGTATTATTTACAACTTTGTTCTGCTGGGAAATCCCATTGGTGCACTCCTTTTCTCCGGCATTCTTGCTGGTTATGTATACGATGCAGAAGCTGCCAAGCAAGGAAGTTCGACCTGCTTAGGTGCCGAGTGCTTCAGGCTCACCTTCCAGATTCTAGCCGGCGTCTGTGGACTAGGAACCATCTTGAGCACAATTTTGACTATTAGAATACGACCAGTTTACCAAATGCTTTATGCTGGTGGTTCTTTTCGTCTGCCTCAAACATCAGGCCACTGATTGTCGATAATAATATTTATCGTCCAGTAGAGGCATGCCTATTTTGTACCGGTATGCTCTATTTATCTTATTTTTGCTTCTCAGTGGGTGCCTGCATTAGCCATATATATCGCAATATTCCTACATTACATGTAGTACAATTTTGCCTGAGCTTGAATATCTGTAGTTTGTTGTAACTTCTTAAAACAATCGCCAAGCTGCGGGATACATAGTGAAATGATGCTGTATTAGCCTGTAAGGATTAAGGAATGCTGTATTTCTTCTGTAATCATATCTGAAGATGCTTTATTATAATCAGGGGAATATCTGGCTTTGAAGTTTGAACTAGAAGGAACATGTGTAATATTCTGAACTAAATGTGATTGATCAATAAGAGCTTCCCTTTACTATTATTCTAGATTTGTTTCTTCACTTCATTGGTTTTGAAAATGTTATACCTACTGTATGTTTAACTTTTCCAACTCTATTATATTCTACTATCCTATCTTAAAAAATGAAAAATGTGTTTGTTTTAATATTGTTCAAAATCCAATCAAATTGTATTAACTCAAAACATTTAACAATTACTTTTCTCAATAATAGTTTATAAATTAACAAAAAACCCCTTATCCACCCAAGCAACAGTCGTCCACCAGTAACCACCATTGGTTGCTAGCCATCGTCGTTGGAATGATGCATGATCAGTCGAATCTAACCGATTGTGCACCGATATGTTCATTTCTGGCTAAATCCACCATGGATCTAACTGAAAACAGTCAGATCTATGGCCAAAAATCTAGTTGTTTACGATGGCCAAGATATAGTCGTCATCAACAGCCAAATCTTTGGCCGTAGATCTAGCCAGAAATAGTCAGATTGGCCCATGACCGACCAAATCCAGTAGTTCGTGCATCATTCTTGTGACTTCTGGGAATGATGGCCAGCTGTCGGCAATCAATTAGGTGGGTGAGGGTGTTATTGTTAATTTATAAATTTTTATTGTGACAGGTGTTTAGCTAAATTAACAAATATAGCGGATTAAAAAAATAATCTAAATGTTTTTAAAAAATATACCAAACACATTCTCAGAATACTGTCTTATTTGATTAAATCATATCCTATCTTACTCAAAATAGAATATTATTAAAAAAATTGTACTAAACGGAGTGTCTTTGAGTTACTTGCCCATGTAGTTTCTTGGAAAACCATCCAGAAAAATAATTTATCAGTTAATAATTAGTTGATGCATCCGAAGGATGTTCAGATAGAGTAGCTCCAGTCAAATGTATAATGGCACATAAAAGTGAACTGCTTCTTTATGCTTTAAATTTTTGGTCAAAATCTTTGGCTGCCAATATCCAAACCAAAAGTGAATAAAAGGTTTCAAACTTCAATATGACAGAAAGAAAAGAAAATGGATTCACTGATCTTATAATTCATAATTCATATTCATATGAACACCTACCAATACAATTTTCTGAGTATTTTCTCAAAACCAGAATAGATACAATGGTATCTTCATATTGCTACATATTTGTATAAACCTAACACAATAGTTATCTCCTCAACAAGCTAGACACTGAATACTAGTGCTTTCTTGTCTATTAAAGAAAGAAAGAAAGAAAATTATAGCATACAAAAAAGTAGTAGGAGACAGCCTGATTACTGAAACAGACCCCTGCTGCTAAAGTATGGCTTTAACTTGACCCACCACTAGATCAAATAACTCTTCTTTGACAAACAGCTGGTGGAAGAACCCTAAAAACCCATCTCTCACCATTACAATTTAGAAGGAAAATTTTTTATTCGCCTCCCTTTATTTGGCTAAACACATAAACTGTAGAATTCCCTTTTGAAATTTTGAAAATTGTCACAAACCCAGATAAAATTTTAATGTGAATAAGCAAAATTAAGGGAAAGTGAATAAAATTTGCCCCTATTGAATCAAGTTTGATCAAAAAATGAAAAATGAAGGCAACCTTTTATGTGGGTTTGAGATCTTGAAACATGGTATCCCATCTGATTTCTTCAACACCAGTTGACCAATATCCATCATCATCACCATCAAATTTCTCTTCCTTTTGGTAATCAAGAACCACTGGACTTGAAAAACTATTAATTCTCTGAGGTCCAGAGACCACCGTGGGGCTTCCATTTGTGAGCAACAATCTCCCTTGTTTAGCCATGATCAGCTTCTTGTTCCTCTTCAACATGCCACCTCTCCATCTTGTTGCATAACCAGCAGGCCTAGGAACAACAACAAGAGCTGAAGATGATGATGATGATGACGCTTCACCATGAACCCAAGTTCTCAAATATTTGGCAAGACTTCTCTTTGTCCTCTTGATTGCAAAAAGAAGTCTTGACACTGGTCTTGGAGTTGTGGCTCCTTTCTCTTTTCTTGCAAGCTTGAGAATTTCCAGTCTGTGTTTGGCTATCGAGATCCCCATGCTTTGAAGAAATTCATGGTTGAAGTATGCTATGTCTTCTTCTTCAAGCTCATTATGTGCAAAAGCAAGGCCATACTCATACACAAGAGATGGCTCAAGGCTACTCTTTGATAGCCATGAATACCAATCCATCATTTTCAGTGATTTGAATTGAATGTGGATTTGTGTAATATCTCCTTAAAGCTTGACACATACATGCACATATATATAAAGTATGAAGGGAAGAAATGGTAAAAAAAGAAAAAAGGAATATATATATATATATATATATATACCTCTAGAAAAATGTCTTGTATTGATGATATTTATAACAACACATGAGAAAAATATCGGCACACAAACTTTATTACTACATAAATCACGTTGTTGTGAAATCAACATAGATACACAATTTAATTACGACACCAATGTTATAGTCACAACATAGTATCATATCATCTATTTCATCATTAACACCGAACCTATGATACGGAATAAATAGATCAAGAATATATTCTTATAACACAAAAATACAATCACTATTTTTGTAAACAATCTTTAAAAAGTTTAAATCCAAAATTAAAAAAAGAATGTAATCAATAAATAAATCTTCGACCTTAATCATCATTAGGATATTAACGATGTGACACGTGTGATGATGGAGTGATGACGTGGTATGCAAGGTGTCCGAATGAGATTTTTAGGGTTTTGATTTCTTGAAATTGAATATTTAATAAGGTGGTTGAATCTTGAGAGTGACTAAAGAAAAAGAAAGAAGAAGCATGTGGTGTGGAGTGGGGTTTCTTCCAAAAATGGGGTAAAGCTAAAGAGATCAAAACTCAAAGGATTTTGTTGTGGAAATGAATTATATTGCATTTCATTGCTTTGCCATCAATCACGGCATGGGAAAAGAGTAAATGGTGTAGGGACGACCACTCACTCACTTTAATTGTGTTTTGTGTGTTAAGGGGGTAAAGTGAAAAGAAATCAAACTCAAAGATAGGGATTTAATTTTTGGTCATATATATTGAAAGCAACTCTCTTGAATCATTGCCACCAAATGAATGAATGAATGATATGATTTTACATATTATCTCTTTTTCTTTTTTTCTTTTTTTTTTAATTTTAGGTAAAAATCTAATTATTTAGTTAATTACTTTGATTTATGATCTAAAAACTTACTTATGGGTAGTTAAGTGGTTCCATAGGGACTCTTGGGTGATTACTCAGTAGGTCATTGAGTTTCGAGTCCCTCCTTGGTTGTTAATAGAATTACTGAAATTCTTACTCGGTTGGTAATTTCAGAGTCCCAAAGACTTAATTGAAGTGCGTATAAGCTAGTTCAAACACCCTTGATCATTAAAAAAAAAAAAAAAAAAACCTTGAAAGATATGTTTGGTTTGAAAAATGCTAAAAGGTTTTCCAAATTTGACTGATAAATACTTTAATTTGGTCGGTTAAAAAGTGTGGGAGGCTTGGCGTATAATATATATGGGTTTTGACTAAAATATATTGTAATTATTATTTAATTAATTAGGTGTTGTCTTCCATCACTATTTAACTTATTAATAATTGACTCTCCTTTGAAAAAACCAAAAAGAAAAGACTGACTTTTCACCTTACTACTTTTCCTCAACATAAGTATTTAATTTCGGGAATACATATTTTTAAAAGAGTATAACGATTTTTTCCCACCCAAGATTTCTTAATAACATTCCCCACCTAAAAAGTTTCAAATACTACTTTCCACCCAGTTTATATTTCATTAATACTAAAATACACTCACTTTCTCATCGACGTTCAGGGAGTTACATGAGTTAAAGTAAGAGGGGTTTTATAGAGTGAGGCCAGTGATCAAATGGTGGTAATCGATTGAATATCCACCGTCAGAATTAGCTGAAAATCAATCAAGAATAGGAAATTAGTTTTACGGTAGTGGGTAATTAGCGAGAAATCAGGTGTTAAAATGAGAAAGGTTTCATAGAGAGGAGACGGAGGTCAAATGATGGTGACGAAGAGAATTTTCGCTGTCAAAATCGGTTTTGGGTAATAACGGAATATTAACTTTGGGTGGGAAAGTGATAGTTTGAAACTTTTAGGGTGGAAAATGTCATTAAGGCAAACCTGGGTGGGAAAAAGTTGTTTCCTCTTTTAAAAAGTAAATAAGAAGAGGAAATGAAAAAAAATTGATTCGATATTTCTAATAATTGAAAACACATATATATATTGTAATTTTATGGGTTGACTATGCATGCAAATTCAGAGCCATTGCTGAAGATTCTACAACTATTTAAAAAAAAAAAAAAAAAGTTGTTTAGAATATATGTAACATTAATTTGATTGTTTATTTCATTAGTGTTGTTTGCCATTACCACTCAAGTTTAGTTAATAATATTATCTAATTAGCAGATAAACACAAGATAATCTTAGTTAGTTCAACGCTTTTACTCTTGCATTATTTTAATTATTAAAATCATAATATAGTTTTTCAAAAAAAAAAAATATATATAATATATAGATATTATATATATTAAAGTCACCAATTAATTTATACAGAAAAATGGACGGCTGGGAATTTGTCTACCTTCAGTCAGAATTTTAAATTTATTTTTTTATACGATTACATGAACATGAGCATGTGTATATTTGTTTTCAAATTTGAGAAATAATTACTTTATTTATTATTATAATGATGAATCAATCGATTTAGATAAAATAATAAAAGCAAAGCATGCAAGTTTTTAGCCGTGAGATTGGTAATGATGTTTAGATTAAAGTAATGCAAGTAGATTAAATCTCAAGGAAACATAATGATCATTTATAAGAAACCTACTTGGTGAAGATAATTTTTTTTTTTTTCTTTTTTAACGACTGAGAGTGTTCAGGCCAATTTGCATACACTTCAATTAATTCTCCAGGATCTTGGAACTACTGATTAGGTAAGAGTTCTAATAGTCACCTCTATTAGTAGTCGTGTGGGCTCGAACTCAAGAGACCATGTTAGATCTTCTCTTACTGCTCTTTTACTATCAAGAAGATTCGAACTTAGGAGACCATATTAGATCTTCCTACTTGAGAGGTCATGTTAGATCCTCCTACTTGAGAGACCATGTTAGATCCTCTTTCTGTCTTTAATCATAAATGTTTTATTATCACTAATCTTATAATTAATTAATAGAACTAAAAAATTTAAATAAGAAAGAGATATTGTGACTTAAATTTTAAGTTGTCGATCTATTACAATCCAATAGTTTAAGATTTGGTGAGGTGACAAAGAAAATAACCATTTCTAACATTCAACTTGCATCTCATATCCGTTAGATTACAATAAATTTATGGCCATGAATTTGTGTTTCAATTTAAGCTAAAAGATTTTATCCCAAATAACTAAATGACAAGATTTATCTCTTGATTCTCGTAGAGCTACATAAGTAAGGGTCTATTTCATTTTTCTCTGGTAAGATTGCTTAGCATTTAACTCATTTGATTAGTTCAAAAAGTACTAAAAACCTCTTTACGTCATCAAAAACATCTTTAAAAATTGAATGAAGTAAATAAGTTTCATTGAACCCTAAGATATTGGTCTGACGGTCAAGAAAGTTTACTCTCTTTAGAATTGTAGAGTGTTTAATAGACTTCGAAAATTAGTTAATTTGTGTGCAAGTTGATCCGAATACTCCGGTTACCCACAAAAAATAATAATAATAAGTTTGATTGTAACAATCTCATTTAAGAACAATGAAATAAATCCTAGTAAGTGATAAGGACAACATGTGAGACAAGATGTTATGAGCAAATGGGTAACAGTCAGAACACTAAGTATTGTCTGAAAACGCCCTTGTTTAAAGTCTTTTGGTTGTGTCCCAATATCACATGCAATCTTATCAATTGCGTTTTGAACTTAAACACCTTCTCCTTCACGGCCTCACACTACTATTTCCATGTGAATGTGAATACTTTTTCTTTTCTTTTTTGGAGCTTTGGATGCAAACAAATATTAAGAAATTTACTTCATTTATTTCAATGGGACATTTTTTGTTAATTTCCTAGTTTTATTTTGTTCAATATGACAAAATTTGTAATGAAAATTGAAAATAATCGAATTTAAGATCTCAATATGATTTGATTAAGCGATGGAGCGCCATGCAATTTTGGACATAATACAACCCTTTTGTCTTCTTCATTGTTATGTTGAGTGTGGGCTTACTCAATAATGGAGTAGTAAAGCCGACAGCCTTATCAATATTTTTGTCTAATTCTTCATTTTACATGCTTCTCCTCACTACGTACTTTTTCTATTATTCTTTTGTTTTGTTTCCTTTTTTTCTTTTCAAATGTCTCATAGCTTATATATTGTTATACCATAAATCCAAAAGGCCTAAGATCTCGACACATGTCTCATGACCATACAAAATACTTGGGTCAGGTGTTTTCCCATGAAAGGGTGGCTTTCCCTATAAGATTGTTATAGGTCACTTCAACTATTCATACAACTACCCGAGTTAACTTCAACCGCAAGACTCACGACTAAATCACCAACCTATGACAACTTATAAGAGGACTACTTCACCGTTAAATCTCCAATCAAGATAGTTTGCCAAGTTACTTACTAGATCATTCATGCAAAACTATAGATAGGGGTTCCTCTCTCCCCTAAAGGATTTATTTCAAATCTTCTCGTTCTCCTCTTAATAGTTACAAAGCAATTATCTTTCTTTAGAGAAAATATCTTTTTGTTGTAAATACATCAATAAAATAATAGTGAAAGTAGAAATTACGCTTTGTATTTAAACCATTTTAAAATAATACTTGTACTATTACTATTAACCACGGGTTCAACATCATATTTCATAGTCTCACACGAACCCTTTACACAAGCTCTCATAAAAGGTTCGTGTACTTCTTTTTTGTGCGAAATATCGCAACAACATATACATATTTAAACCATAATATATCTAAGATAAAATATATATACATATTAGAAACTCATCAGAAAAATCCTTAGATGATCAAGAAAATTAAGAGGTTGAAAATATTATATTGAAAAAATAATATTTATAATCACCCAATTGATATATGAATATTCATGTAATTTCACAATCCAATTTAAGATTAATCTAGATGGCTGATAATTTTAAATTTTTTTTATTTTATTTTCTTATGAATATAAAGTGGAGTAAACAACTTTTTCCCACCCAAGGTTTGGTCTAATGGCACTTTTCCACCCGTCAAGTTACAAAATGCCACTTTTCCCTACCTGTCAATTTTCAAAACGAAACTTTTCCCACCTACCATTATGTTCCGTTAGGAAAATCCATTATGTCACATGATATAAACGGTGTAAACATAAAAATGCCCTTTTCTCTTATTCTTCTCTTTTCTTCTTTCTCATTCACCACCTCTGATTCCGATGACCAAAAAAACAATCACACACAACCACAAACATTTCGAATCTGGCGACCAGAAAAAAAAATTACACACAACCACAAACACTTCTAAACCAACTTCATTAGTCGATTTCTAACAAAACAACTCCAAACAATTACACCCAAATCATCGATGAAGCAAAAAACCCTAAGAAAGGAAGTGGTGATCAGAGACCTTCTGCAGGCAAACAGGATCGGGTTTGTTGGGGGTTTTGGAGAGGAAGTGTCAATAGTGTGTTTGGTGGTGTCGAGGTTGATTTTCGATAACAGGATTGACCGAAAAAGCCTGGGCATGCAAAACAAGCCAAGCGCAGTGACCAGTGAACGATAGGCTAAACAAGTGTGGAGTGGTAGGGGTTTTGATGAGGGAGGTGAGGGGAGTATTTTGGTGGAGTCGAGGGAGGTCGACAACACCAAAAACAAACCGACTTGGCCTGGATTGGCGGCAGGAGGGGGTTTTTCATGGAAAATTGCTTAATTCCGACTAGGATAAGGCTAAAAGGATGAAGAAGTTCAAGATTTCCATTAGTTTTGGTGAGAAAACTAGCCGAAATTGGTTTGAATCGATGGGCAACAACAGCGGCAACATTGTAGCAATTTGAAAGGATTCAAGGTTTTTATATAAGGGATAAAATGACATAAATACCCTTAAACTATTTTTTGAATTTACTATTATGTCATTCTTCAGTTAATAACTTAATGGACAAATCTTAACATGGGTGATAAAGTTGTATTTTGAAACTTTTTGAGTAGAAAGTGCATTGAGTCGAAACCTTGGGTGGGAAAAAAATCATTTCCTCTATAAAGTGTGAGTGCATAAGCTATCAGCTATGAGTGCTACACTCAATTTTTTTTAAGTTATATATATATTTTTGGCACATCAAAATGTTAGTTAGTGACTCATGGGTGAGGGACATGAATTTGGTTTGGTAAGTAAGCTAGTGATGTTGCTTGTTATCTACCTCATTAATTTGTATAATTAATTAAGAGATTTAATTATCACTATCATTATCAATTGCTTTCATCAATCAACCCTAAATTTTAAACAATACAAAGTTGGTTAACAAATTATGATTTTAATCTATTTTGCATGCGCATGAACTAACTTCAAATTTAAACATCATTCTCTTCATTTAACTAATTAATTACATTTCAATCAACTATCAATCTTCAATTTATTTAATCATTTGACCAATTTCTCTGCCACCCTAAACTTTTGAGTTTTTTCACTACATTTTGTGTTCTAAGAACCCTCCTTTTTTTTCTTTTTTTTTTTGGGTTAAAAAGCATATATTATTTTAAAAATAATAATAATCCTCTCTCAAAAGCTAACTAATTTATACTTTTATTAATTTTGAAAAAGTGCATAAAAAATATGTTTATTTGTTATTTATTTATTTTGTGTGAGATCCATCAAGAAGATGAAATTTATGGGGATTTTGAAGAATTCAATTAGCTATGTGGACCAACAAGACAGCTTTTTTTTTTTTTTTTTTTGGTGTAAGAGAAGATCCATCAAGAAGATGAAATTTATGGGGATTTTGAAGAATTCAATTAGCTATGTGGACCAACAAGACAGCTGTTGAATTAGATCATTAATGTTACTCATAATTTCTTGATTTCATTCTAACTTAATTTGGTCAAGTCTCTAATCATTCAAACTCTCATTACTCATTTATTCAATCTCTTAAATGCTTCTTTGACGGACAATAAATGGGAGAATATTTTAACACCACAACTTGCAAATAAATGTTAATTATGACCATTTTTTGTATGACCAAGATATCTGGCTAGCTTGCATAGACCTCAACTACTCATCGGGATCCATTGAATATTCTATAAGTCAAATACTCCAAGATAGGTCACAAATATGGTAGATAATCTCAAGATGTTTCGAACCCATAAAGTTAATGAAGGGAATAAACTTTTTTAACCGTCAAGCTAACCCCCACGTGTTTCATTATCATCATATATTTGTAGGCCCAGTTATATTAAATTGTGGAAACCTCCAGTATAGATTTTAATACTTTAAATGATTAAAATCCTTCATAATTTTGTATATTTCACTCAAACTTTTGAGAATTTTGAATGGGAGTTAAATTAAAATTTTAAAAAAGAAATATTTTAAATTTTTATAATTTGGGTAAATTTTTACCATGCTTGAAATTGTAATTTCCTCAGGCCTGAGATTTTCTCTAAAATTTTGCTATAAACATTTACTTTTCATAGTAAAGACATTTGAAAAAAAAAATTGTGCTAAATATTAATAATTACTTTCACGTGAGAGTTATATAATCCAAAGGTTGGTTTGACGGTCAAGGAGATTTGCTCCCTTCATTGATTTTTTTTGTTCAAACCTGGAGGCCACGTACTACACTGTGACTTACCCAGTCTTTTCGGCTTATAAGGTGTTCAATGAGGGGGCACAAGGATATTGAGGTGCGCGTGACTTAACTCGGACACCTCGGTTACCAAAAAAAAAAAAAATTATCTTTCTGAAATTTTAAATAAAGAGATAAATTAAAATTACATTTCTGGCCCTTTTTAAATTGAGGGTGGGGACTAATGATAAAAATATGTGGGCTAAAGATCACTACCCAATTCATTTATACAATTTTTCCACAAAAGCAAAGCCGCGTTACTTAGTTAAATCTGGAGTGTACTTAGCAGTTAGCACAACCGCCAAAGCCCAATTCATTGTTTGCAAGCCCGCCCATTAGCTCAAACGTGGGTACCCTAACCTAACCCAACCCGAACCCAGATTTTCTTCTCCCTCTGACCCGCAACCTGCTTCTGGAACTCCATTGCTTTTCTCTGTTTGTTCCCTGGTGGAGAGTCTGAGTAAACAAAAGAAATTAAAAAAATGGATGACGCACAAGCGAAGAAGAAGGCGTTGTTTCGCGCTAAATTGAACGCTCAAAAGAAGGAAAAGCGAATAAACTCTCCTCTCGTTAGGTGTAAATGCTAAACTCAAAACGAATAATTTGTTTCTTTTCTATGAGATAACAATCATTAACCTTTTGTTTTTATCGAATTTACAGATATAACGAAGTCGATCAACCCGTTTGTCGAGTTTGCGACGTCGTTTTGAAATCTGAGTCTCAATGGGACGCCCATCAAGCTTCGCGTAAACACCATCAGGTCAGTCTGCTTATATTTTACTAATTTTTGATAATTCAGTTATTATTTTCTCCAATTAATTTTCATTCTTATTAGGGATAGTTTGAGTCTAAACTAGAATTCACTGAGAATTAATGTTGTGATTTTGATAAAATTTTATGATTCTTGCTAGTGGGGAGTTTAGTTTCTTCTACTTCAGTTAATTGAAATGGTTATTTATACATCATTGAACACTTGTTCTTGAGAATGCTAATTTCTTGGAATTCTTTTGTTTAGTTTCTTGTGTTTGGAAATTTTTAATGAAAAGCTTATGTTGGGTAGGCAATTAGTAATCTCAAAGCTAGTGCAACTGGAGTTACTCAAGCTAGTAATGCGAAATCCGAGCCTAGTAATGCATTGTCTAAAACTGAACATCGTTTGGAGTCGCAAAATTCAGAGCTTCAACCGTCAAAGAAAGTAGCTGAAGCTCAAACACCGAAGCAATTACCTAAAGCTCAACCATCTTCTGTTCTTCCTTCAGATTTTTTTGATAATGAGGCAAAGAAGCCAAAAACTGGTATGAACTTGTCTATGATTTTTCCTAGTACTTGAAAGTTTTGCAGTTGATCTCGCACATATAACAGGATATCTAATATATTTCCAAATAATTTGCTAGTGATTGAACTCATCATACTACATTGGTCCATAATAAATTAATAACTATATTGGCATGTTTAAATCTTTAATATAGATTTTACTCATCTTTATGTCGAAAGAGACCATTTTTCCTCTTTACTTAAAAGACATTTGTCTATTGTTGTATATTTTCCATTTGTTAATGTTAGGTATCTATTTCATATCTGGTTGTTAATCATGGTTTTGAGTATTCGGTTAATGCTTCAATCTCTTGAAAAATGATTTTTTGAATGTTGATTTAAATGACTGGAAATTTCACTTTTCACAGATTCTGTTAAGATGGTGGATCCTGATTCATCCAGGAACTCTGGGGGTTCTGCCAAGACTCAGGCAACTGCAAGATTATACTCTGAAAATAAGATGGATGGGTTGCCTATTAGTAATGCAACACAAACAAAGAAAGTTCAGTCAGCTAGGGAGCTTTCTGAGAAATCAACGAAGATGGCTGATTCAGAATCCAAGCAACCACAGGGAGCACTTCCTGAAGGTTTCTTTGACAATAAAGAAGCAGATTTACGTGCTCGTGGCATTAATCCTGTTAAGCCAGATGTTAAGTAAGTCCCTACTGAATCATGTTTTAATATTAGTTCCTAAATCCCCAGTTCACTCAAAATATTGATGATAAAGAATTGCATTTTTTATTTCTTCAATGGAAGTAGATTGTAAGAGAAGACTTGTCCTCTACTTTTATAGAACTTCTCTTTCCAACCACCTGTCAACTTCAATATGTCAGTACTCTGGCGAATACATATGATGAAAGGCTTGAAAACCACTTGTATCAAACACTGTGTCCTGATGAAATTCATACTAAGGGCAGATGAAGCATGAGGGATAAGGGTGATTTCATATGATGGGTATTGTGTCCCATATATAATACATGGAGAGGGCAGAAAGACAGAAGATATCATTAGAAAAGTACTTTAAAAGTTAAAATGATTGTTCACTGGTTCATAATTTTAGAGTTATTGCACATTTTAATCTTTTTTGCATGACTCTTTCTCATTGATCCCTACAAGCTCCTTGGCACTTTCTGAGTTTAAATGTGATGGATCGTATTACTTGTATATGTTTGTTGAAATAGGATCAGCAGTAATCTTGAGTTTATGTTAAATCCTGATCAGGGACGAGTATAAGGAATTTGAGAAGTTGATCCAAGAGGATTTGCAAGAGGTGGATAACCGTATGGAAGAAGATGAGGTTTGCTTTTTTTGTCTCATTGTATTAGTCCCTCAACCATTATTTCCCGTCTTGTCTTCCTTTTGATTTACCATACTGAATTTATGTTAATAATCTGTATTGCAGTTTGATGCTGCAGAAACTATACAAGAGTATGAACTGTTGGAGCAAAAGTAAGTTCAGTGTGGCCAACAGCAGTGAATTCTTGTATTCTTATTTTGGTATTAATCTTTATTAACTAATGATTCTCAATTGGTCAATTTTTTTTTACCTGCAGGGCCTACAAGGAGAAAGTGGAAGCTCTGAAGAAGAGGAAAATGGAGTTGGAGGCCGCCAAGTCAGCCAAACGAAGCAAAAGTTCTGAGTTTGCTCAGAACAAGTCTACTGATGACGAGGCATCCAGTGATGATGAAGATGAAGATGAAAAGAATTTTGCCATTGATTGGAGGGCTCAGCACCTGTGATTTCTTCCACCAAAGTTGCTGGTAAAGGTCTCTCTCTTTATCCAGTGGTGGTATGTGTACAAGTAAAGAAATTCCCAAACAAGTAATGTCACAAGTTTCTTAAATTAAAGTGATTCACAAATACCTGAAGTCAGAAGTCCCTAATAGTGTAATCAAACTGAAAAACAATATATATATATATATATATATAATCCTGAACAAAGTCTTACATGCTTAATACCTGAATCAGACCATCCAAAATGAGCTGAATTGGCAGTTTGATTCGTTGCAACAGATCTTATGCAGTTCACTTGGTTTGAAAATCTTCAAACCACAAGAACCCAACCAAATCAATGTCATAAATATTAAAAAAAATATGGACTTGTGAAATTGTTTAACTGGTCATTTATGTATCAAACTCATATTTCGTTTCACTCTTAATCACTGTCCTTACAAAGTAACTGTAATTTTTTCTTATCTTAGTGTTGAATTTAGTTAGATGTGCCTTAGTTACACTTTGATAAATAATTCTCATTGTGTTAATTTTTTGGACTAGTGTTAAAATATCATTTTTTGGGGGGCTAAACCCCGACCAAAGCAAACCGTCTTTGTTGATTCAGTTTGGATTGGGTTGAACACCAAGCCAAATCAATGAAGTATGGTTTTGTTTGGCAAACCGCATGATGCCTAACCTGATGGATAATACTTGTTTGAGTACATTTTGGTTGTCGTATTTGAAGTAGATTTCAGTTTTTCATTTGAGTTTCTTTAGATTTGCTTTTAAACAAGCCCTCCATAAAAGTCTTTATGCAATTTTAGATTATAGAGCAATAATGATTATGAAAGTTACTGGACCTAGTGTTTCATTTCTCTCTTATTTTTCCTACCCTTTTCCTCTTAAACTCTTTTTATCTGTAGTTCCTTGCCTCTTTATTTTTTTCTCCTTATTCTACTCAATTTTTATCATTTTCTTGCGTTTTCTCTCTAAGATCTATTCTTTCGGCCTTGTTCTTTTGTCTCCTTCTTCCTCTCTTTCTTGTCCAAATGAAGCTGAGGTAATATAATTAAGGGTATCTTTATTTTAATTCAGGTAAAGATGTGAGAAGTCATGTTGCAGCAATGTTCTCATTTGACTTCTGTTTAAATAATAGAAAAGAAAATTCATTTGAATTTTGTAATGTCTTGGCAATCAATTGGCTTATAAGCATAATGTTCATAATTTACACTTTCCAGTAACATTCGCTTTCTGTATGTTCTAGAGACGTGGAAACAATCTTAGAAAACAGATGTAAAAATATCGTATTATACCTTATTCTATAAAGTAGAGAGCATGTTGATCATTTTCGCCGATAATTTTGCAGATGGAAGAATGAAGTGACCTAATTGTTATAACGAAAGTCGCCGGCTCTCGTTTCTGAATTATTGTAATGCAAGACCCTCATTCTCTGGGTGCTGAAGCTGAACTGCAAAATTGGTGCAGCTTGTATATTCAACTATGAAAAGGCTTCTTTGGTTGGGACACATGGGGTCCTGAGCTGCTTCACCAAGTTACTCATCACTGATTTGCATTTTGTGTTATTCATAGACTTAGACATGATTGCTGAAAACTCTTAATAGTTTTTATTCTATTTTTGCAGTAAGAAGTTTTGATCTCTCAACAAGGTCTATTAAATAGAATGGTAATAAGTATTGTAGCACCAATTTGTTTATGTAATATTATAAGTAAAAGCATTTTTACATCACCAAAATATTTTGACTTTTAACTGAAATATCATCAAAGTGCGTCTCCAATATATAAATTACCAGTACCATAAAAAGAAAAGAAAAATTCGCTTTTTCAACATAATTTTTGAGTTATTAATCTAAGTATTTTTAATGGTTTAGATTTAATACAATTAAAATAATTAACATGCATTAATATAAAGTCACGGTCTCCGCTATATCAATAATAAGGAAATTACAAAACTCCCGCCAGTTTCAAAGAGCCAAAGCCAAACGCCAAAGTGTCAAACCAAATGGAAGGCTTTCAAACTCCACGGCAAGATCAATCGCGACTATCCGATCTTGCGAATCGCAAATCCAAGGACTCTCGATTGAAGAAGAAGGTAATCACAATTCAAAGCTTCAACTCAAATTTTCATCCGTTTTCCTTAATTGCTTTTTTTTTTTTTTCTCTTTCACAGGTGGTAAAGAGGAATTTGGATACTTCAGTTCCTGAAAATCTTTTGACGGATACTGTCAAAGAACCTGCTGATTTCTCTCAGATTTCTGACGCCGATGAAGTATGTTTCAGCTCGATAATTTTATTTTATTTTCTGTAATTTTTTATTGCTGCTTCTAATTTGTGTTTCCGTGAAAGAAATTCAGAATACGGTTGTTATCGCCTGAAATGACTGTTTGAAATTGACGTCTCAGTTTTTCAAATTTCGTAGTTCTAAATTTGTTTTTCTTCCGTTTAAGAGCTTTGCACTAGCTTCGTTGGAACCGCTCGATGTCATTTCACTGGAGAGAGAAGTAGTGGCGAATCTTCTCAAACAAGCTCAAAATCAAGTTTCCAACTCAAATGATATAGAGGCCCGGTCTAAGAGACTTCTGGATGCACTTGTTAAGATCATTGTAGAGGAGCTCTACACAGTGCCTGAAGAGAAAGACCGTTTTAATGAACTTGTTTTGGCGAAGATTCGTATTGTGTTGCTTCTTTTCTTGATTTGGATTATTGTAATGTCGGTGGTTTTGTTCTTCAATTCTGGCGCTGGAGGATCTTTCAGTGGATCTCCGCCTACATGATCTATTGCTTGTGAGGTGAGGTTCCTTGTTTGGCGCTAAGTAGGTGAAATAACTATTGTTCTCTGCATTTAGACTTATAGTGAAATTTCGTGTTATTAATTTTTGAAGTGTAACTGGATTGGCATCTTCCTCATTGTTTCCAATACATGTTGTTGTTAGTTTCATATTCGATAAATTGAGCTTTTTACGTTTTCATTTACATGATCTGTTAGTCCATGTTAACCTTAGCTTGTCTGGCACAATGTTACTAAAATGTTGCTTAAACTGAATTGAGTCTTCATTCAATATAGTGTTACTCTTTAAATGTTAGACCTATAGTTTAGAGCAACCAACGTTTAACTTACAAAACTGTGAACAGAGCAAAGATATTAGGTTTTAGAGGAATCCGTTCAGGAGTTACAGGAAGAGATAAGAAAGAATTTGGGATGACGGGACGATTAAGAACTAATTTGACAGTTAGATTAATGATTAACAGGTCAATAAAGGAGCCTGAAACTTAGTAAGAAGAGAATTAGCCATAACTATTAACGATGACTTTGCTTGAAGTAAATCTTGGGAGATGATTTAGGCATGGTGGAATTGGATGACCTGCACTTAAAATAATCGAGTGGTGTAATCCTCCAAAGTTTTGTTAGTTTATGAATGATGATATATGACTTGGGAGGTAGCTGTACTTAAACGCAAAAATATGGTGTAATCCACCAAAGGGATATCTGAGGTTTGTAATGTAATCATTGGGTTGGGCGTGTGCAAAGTTTCCATCAGCAAGTTTCTTTACGCCAAAATCTGGTTTAACCATTAAGTAAAGGCCAATTCCTAGGTGTCCAAAGAAAGTGAAACGATTTGATTTAGTCTCTAGCGTTTCTTGCAGAATTTCATTCTCTAGGATAATGAAATCCGAACTTTTAAAGCATATTATCTTCATACCTTAGAGATGAAAGTGGTAAACCCTCATAATTACATAGCACATGTCTCTCCATCAATTTTGTGTAATTGTTTATTTATTTTAACTACTTGAAACGTTGGATTATAGGTGCTGGAATTAAGATGACAAACGGACATTACATCTCACCAAATTTTTGGGCTACATATCTCTATAACGTTGGAACATTTGACTTTATACTATGTATACATGAATGCATGAACAGATAATAATTTAGAGACATTTCTCTATTTGTGTTTGTCAAACCCCGGTACATAGTCATGACTGTTGATGCACGATCCATGCCTCGTTGTGGGAACCTGTCATACAGCTTCTGCATGGCTTATTTATTTTTATTTTTTATTTTTTTATTAGAACATAATCTTTATGGACAATTAGTGAGCTCGCTGTCAAAATAGTCATTTTAACAAAGCACTATACTTTGGCTTTAATATTTTGCCAGCCAAATTAATATCTTCAAAGGGTTTATGAAAATCAATGTACCCATTTCTTCATTCAGGGTTATTCTTTACCATCAATTAACAAACTGATATATTTTTTCAGGTTGAGTGAAGCTGGCATCAAAGTAGATCGGTCATATTCTTTCAGCTCTTGAGTTTAGTTGGTTGATACAGTAATAGTTTGATTCTAGTTTGAGTCGTGATGCATATGAAACCTGAATTTAGATTTTACAGAAATCAACTCAGCAATATTATACATTTCATAACCCTTCATGCTAGTGTCATTAGGTTCAAATCTTTACCATTTCCCAGACTTCTACTCTGAATTAATATCACAGATTTACTCATAAGCATTTGAGTGAATTAATCAGTTTCTGGTGCTGCTCATTGCTTTGTGATAATTGTTTTTAAAGTGGGTAAGTCATTGTTGATTCTATTTGTTAATGTTTTGTTGATGGCACTATCTTTATCTTTGATAAGTATGATGAAGGGTAGTGATTACTGAATTAAAAAAAGAAGGGACCCATAGCATGAAATTTTGAGCATAACTGTCACACTTATAAAGGAAGAAAATTCCAAACCACCTCAACAAATACAAATGATGCTTTAAATACTTTCCCAAAGATGCCTCAACAGGATGAGGTGTCTTGGAGACAGTTATATCAGCATATGTGTAGGCTGGACAAGTTGAAAATGCCTTGAAAGTGTTTCTCCAAATGTTAGGGACAGGAAGAAACCTAGAGAATTAGCACTTATAGCCTTCTCAGTGCTTGTAGCAGTATGGGCAAACCAAGCTTGGGGAACAAATCATGCCTTGTACTTAAACATGGACTCAATCAGTCTGTCTGCGTGTGTGTGTGTGTGTGTGGTGTGTGTGTAATGCACTGATACAATGTGCTTCAAGTGTGGAAGTCTAGATGGCTTTTCTGTCTTCGAAGAATATCCTGTACGAGACATAGTCTCATGGAATGCAGTTTTTACTGGCTGTGCTCAAAATGGTCTAGGTAAAAAAGCCATCAGCCTTTATTAACAAATGGAAGCAGCTGGAATTTTCCAGATGAAATTAGTTTTCTAGGGGTTATAGGTGCTGTAGCAATGCAGGTTTAGTGGATAAGCCCGGGCCTATTTCAATTGCAGAGCCAAAATTATGGTTCCCCAACGACTCACAAACATAATTATCACCTTGGTCTATGAGTAAGAGCCAATTAGTGAGTCAAAATAAAGTTTCTTCCAGTGCAAACCATGCACCTTGTGGATATTTTCTCTAAAACAAATGTTACTCATCTTTGTCTAGGAGAAAATTTTTTTAATAACATATATTAGAAGGATTGCACCATTAGGACCATTTTTTTCCTGTCCTTGATTTGGATTGATCATAGTTAAATATATACCATTGGAGCTATGGATTATTTTTATTTTTTTTTTTTTTTTTTTGAATATTTGTTATCAAACTTAATTTTATTGCACATAAGGTAATACTAGCTTTCCTTTTCATGGATGTCTCTTACGAGTCTGTAATCTATTAATAAGTTAAGTGAGTTCTACTATTTCATTTGCAATTGCAATGCCAAACTCTTTCACATCTAATACAGGAAACGCAGTTTAAAAGCAGCTGTTAGATAAGGTAGCGCAGATAATGATCCCAATAACGGAAATCAAACACATTTCAAGCTAAAAAAATCACCGAAAAGAAGACTGCTTTACTTACTGGAAAAGGCGACTTATGTTCATAGCATAACTAAAAACTAATTATCTGCTGCAGCCAACAACAGTTAGGTGCCTTAGACATTTCAATGGTATATGGGTTTCTGTAATTAGTAAATGTAGTAATATATAGCTTCCAATGAAGATAGGAAACATAGTGTAGATTGAGAGTTTGGCTACACCCCTCAAACAAGTAACTGCGCATCTCAAGTGTACGAGATTGTTAGGAGTTTCTTTCATGGAGGTTTTTTACGAGTCTCAATGAAACTGCCTGGCATGCAAGTCCACCTATGAGATGCTCCTTTTATCTTTTCACTGTACCAAAGCTTATATCTGATGAAAAAAGTTCAGGTTAAAAATGAAGTGAAAATTTCATCAATGTTCCTGAGGTTTCATGCTATTGTCTAAACTGGGACTCTAAATTAGACAAACCCTCAAATGAAAGCGCAACTCTCACAATTAAAACTTTTATCCAAGCAAATGACAAGAAGCTTATTAAATGAATATAAAATAATGAATGTATTCAATCAACAACAGTTGTTGCTGTACTTATACAAATTATAACAGTGTTCATGTGAAAAAAAAAAAAAAACAAAGAACAACATTATTTGGAACTAGGAAAACCTATCAATATGTTAATCAGACAAAAAATTTCATTAACTTAGATCCGTTGTATGATGCTTCCAGAGGATTCTCCTAACATTCCTTTATGGTGAGTAAATTATCGGAGCTGCTATGCAAGAGTGTATTAAAACATCAAATCTGTAACATGAGCATCTCAGCAATTCCGTTCTCTAATTCTAGCAACGGATCTAATTGCATTTGGATGTTGGCATCAGAAAAACATAAAGCTATTTCTCACCCCCTGACTGTATAACATTCACCAGATTAATACATAACAAAACATCGCAAGACTAACCAAGAATAGAATCATCAGATTTTTCGAGGCTATATATGTTGCCAATAACTCCAATAAGCTTACTACAATGGCCAACTACTAACATCAACCACGACACAAACCTCTCCATAACGCTTAAACCCTCTCCTTGCCGACTTAACCTTAAAGCCACAAGAGATGGGAATATAAAACCTAATGTCAGTGCTGTCGTTGCCCCTGTAAACTGAAAGCGGTCCAAATGTTGGGAATCGTGGTAGAACCAAAATAAATGCAGACCAATAGAACCACTGTTAAAGTCAACGACTCTTCTTACTCTCTATGAGCGGAGCTGACCCCCAAACACCAAGGCATCTACAGTCTGTCTTAACGAGAAAGAATAACAGGGAAAACAAGAATCAAATGAAGAATGTACCCATCCGTACAATATAGTTCAATGCAGAGCTGAAACGGATCCCAAGATCCTTGTCAAAATTGGTCAGCACATCAGACTCAGTGCCCTTCCAAAAAGTAAATACCCTGATGGCAGTTGATAAATAACCACAATGCAAAGGATAATCGTAATTCTCCCCACCCGATTCATCTTCTGAGGAGACCGCCCTTCAAGCTCATTATAAATAGGGTGTACATTAAAATGGCAAACATATGCATTGTCATAGGATCACCACAAGCCATCCAAAATCGCAGTCTTTGACCCAAGTTCAGGACTCATCCTCGGAGGCTCAATTTTCCCTTCAACAAGCTTAATAAATGCAACCACAAAACATACCACAACAAACACCACAGCGAGGGCCACAGATGCAATGAAGTCAAGTCAAGATTCATCCTATCCAACACACAAAGCGGTGCAAGAAAAACCACCACGACAATAAGAACCAACAATTTCCTATGATCCCCACTCCCATTCCCTAACCATTGATCGAAAACTCCAGTATGATGAGGTGAACCCGACATAACATCGCCCAAAATGATCAAATCACTACCAAAACACCACAGTATTTATAATTATACAAATCTCAG